GGGCCCTCCGCACGGGCCTCGAAGTGGCCCCCCCTGGCCTCGCAGGGCGTTTTGCCAAGCCTTCCCAGCACACCAAGGGCGATCAGGGGGGTCATCGGAGACGTCCCAGAGACCCCAAGACAGCATAAGAGCGCTCCAAGAGTGACCGACGTGACCGCAAGATGGCCCAAGAGGCCTCCAGGACGGCCCCGAAGAGGCCTCCAAGAGCACTCCCAAAAAGGCCCCAAGAGGCACAAATCATTGATTTTCTTGTAGTTTTTGATGAATTTTGGGGTTCTCCGCTTTTCGGCTTCCCGACGCTCCAAGCCTGCGGTCTTCTGGGCGTCCGAAGCCGCCTGGGAGGCTCCAAAATCGCCCCACAACCATCCGAAAGGGCTTCCAGGCAGTCCAAGAGAGCCCCAAAACGGCACAACACGGGTCCAAGATGGCCCTCAGAGAGCCCCATGGCGGCCCAAGATGGCCCCAAGACACTCTCCGAAGCATTCCAAATCGTGACCCGGTCGTTCAGGGAGGCCGCGGTTGGAGGCAGGGTGGTCCGAGGAAGTCCGCAAGAGGCCCCCAGAATACGCCCAGGAGGCCTCCAGAAGGCCTTAAGAAGAAAGCCTGAAACAATTTTTGTGAGGCTCCCAGAGGCTCTCCAAGGAGGAGCCTCCGCAAAAAAGAGCTGAGGAGGATGGGGAGAATGCGCAGGGTATGGCGAAAATGAGGAACAAGAAGCATGGAGGAAGGATAACGAATCTCATTACTATAGCGGCGATGCCGGAAAAGGCAACAAGGAGCTATCTCTAAATTTTCGGTTTGACCTTCCTGCTATTCCGCCTGCATACCAAACTTGAAGGACCAAGGTGCATGGCGCGAAGCGCCACTGCAGTCTTGTGTATATATATATATATATATATATCTATACACGTCATCCGGGGGCCCAGGAGTGCCCTCTGGCCCGGTCCTGGTGCACACGAGCGCCTCCCGCCGGCGCCCGAGGCGACCTCAGCGTCCCGATCGCGCCCAACGCGCTGATCCACCATGGCGGTTCCGAGACGCGCCTGTGCCGCGAAGCCGACGGGCTCTACCGCGGCGCCCGCGCCCCCGCCGCGGGGCCAGGATCGCGGCTCGAGGGCCGAGGTCCGAGGGTCGAGGTGCGCGATTCGAGGTGCCACGGTCGAGGCTCGAGGATCGCGGACCGGTGGCCGATGGCCGCGGGTCGAGGATCGGGGCTCGAGGGCCAGGGAGGGCGAGCAGCGGGCCACTGGGGACAGAAGAGCCCCTGACCCGAACAAAACGATGCGGGCGTAGCCTCACTGAGGTCCCCCCTCTTCGCACTGGTCGTCGCAGCTCTGGGTGGTTTGGCTCGATACATCTGCAGAAAAAAGACCCCCGACCCTAATCGAAGGGGCTAGGGGGGGGAATAGGAAGCGAAAGAGGAGGAGGAGGAGGAGGAGGAGGAGGAGGAGGAGGAGGAGGAGGAGGAGGAGGAGGAGGGAAGAGGAGGAGGAGGACGAGGAGGAGGAGGAGGAGGACAGGGACGAGCACGAGGAGGAGGAGGAGAGGGAGGAGGAGGGAGAGGAGGAGGAGGAGGGAGGAGGAGGAGGAGGAGGAGGGGAGGAGGAGGAGGAGGAGGAAGGGAGGAGGAGGAGGAGGAGGAGGAGGAGGAGGAGGAGGAGGAGGAGGTGGAGAGGAGGATCCCTGATGCTCCTGGCCCTCCTGACTTGGGCCCCCTCCCAGAGGCTTAGGGGCCCTCTTCTCGCTTGGCCCGCGGGAGCGGCGGAGCCTGCCTCTGCCTGCTGCCAGGCCCCCTGCTGGCCTTCGTGCGCACGCCTCGACCCTTGCCCGGTCTCCTCGGGCTCGGCGAGGCGGAGGGCCGCGGTTAGGGGGCCACGTGCGAACCCTACCCCTACCCCCCACGATTTCTGAGGGGGAGGGGTAGGGTTCGCATGTGGCCCCCTAGCGGTTGCCGCTCGAGTCGAGGGAGGAGCCGCGAGGACCACGACCGAGGTGCCCAGGGGAGGGCCCCGCCGAGGCCAGGTCGATAGTCCCTTCTGGGCCTCCTGGGGGTTTCTCGTCGCCGAAGCTGGCTCCGCCTCGAGGAGCGGCTCAGGAGGAGGAGGAGGAGGACTGCTCAGCGACGGCACCAGCGAGAAGAAGAGACCTCCAGGCTCCACCGAGTTGCTCAGGAATGCGGATGCTCACATACTGTTACTCCTGGAGCATCGGCTTCGATAGGCATTTCTGGATGCCATGGAAGTCCGACTTCGAGAGAAGGATGACGAGTTGTCGGTGGCGATGCTGTCCGGATTGAGGTTCAGACGGCGTCTGTCGGGGGGGACCATGATTGCCACCCGGAAATGCAGTGATGCATGGGTTCCATCGCGCGTTGCTTCGTCTGCGGTTGCTGGTAGAGTTTCACGATGCGTTATCAGGTTCAAGCTCTGGGAGTTTGCACGCGTTGCTCGGCTTACTTGAACGACTTGTTTGGCCTCAAAGAGGAAACTCTTGAACACATGAAGGCTGTATGGAAGGATGCATTTGACCAAGGGATGCCTTACCTCCTAGGAGGAGATGAGCCCAGCCACTTTCAGCGACGAGGGTTCCCCAGATCAGGTGGCAGGACTTGTGCGAGCACCAGGTGGCCTTACCCATGTCGTACCAGGTGCGTCCAGGACTGTTGATTTCTTGGTGCTGAGCAGGGTGCTGGAATTTGGCTTCTGAGGAGGCGTTGTCGGACATCGACGTGTCTTTCAGCCCACACAAAGCAGTCTCAGCCATGCTCAGGAGGATGCGGGAGATCTTATGGTGAATGTTCCGAAGAACTACCAACATGTACGACCTCATCCTGCTGCGATGCCTGTTCGGGACCGCCCAGGCTACGGGGACCTTGCCGAGGCCTTGGAGCAGCTCTTGGGGCCCAAGAAAGACCACAACGAGATTTCCTACATGGCCTTCTGTAAGCAGAACGAGATCGGTAAGGAGATGTTGAACGTGGCGTGTGGCAAATGGTTTCTCAGAGCTTGGTTTGACGTCTTACAGTTTGGTCAAACCCATGAGGCCCGCGGGCTCCCTGGAGGGTCATGCTTGGTGTTTGATGACAAGTCATTGAAGACCCCCTTGGCGACCAGACAGGATCAGAACGCTTTTCCTGGGAGGCCTGTGTGGTGGGTGTTCCTGAGTCTCAAGGAGCTTATGCGCTTGTTCCAGCAGGACGACCACTCGCATTACCTTCGCAAGCTGCTGGGCCCATGGAACTGCTCGCCTGCTCGAGACGTTTTTTTTTTTTTTTTTTTTTTGTTTGTTTTTTTTATGTTTTTCTTGTTTTGGTGCAAGCGTTGGAAGCCAGGGGGAGAGTCGTGGCACCCTTTCCTGGCTGTCCTGTCTCGGCAGCTCCATTGACGTGCGGCCGAGGACAAACCTCCGAAGTCGACGAGCTCATTCCGAATGGCGAGGTATGGATATGCAGCACGTGGCACATTGGGGACGTTGCGTACCAGGCGGCGGAAACGAAAGGAATGGTCAACGGAGGCGTTTGGGAATCGCATGAGAGGAGCGTGCGGTATTCGAGGAGACAAGAACCTATAGTGGAGGAGATCGTTGAAACTGTTTCGGGTTTCTCAAGTTCCGTTCTGGAGACATTGACGCGCGAGTTGATTTAACACTTAGAGGACAGCGTGGGGGGCCAGCCCCACGACGCCTTCGCATGCCCCTTGCCTCCCTCCTGTGCGTGGGCCAGCTGCTGGACCTGTTGATCCAGCAGTGCTTCGAGCGACCAGTTCCAACAGTCAAGGGCAGACTTGCAGCCCCGAAGGCTTCCACCCGAAGGACTTCAGCAACCTGTCTGGCGGATCTCTGGAGGCGCCTCCGATCTGCGTTCTGTTTTGCAGCTTCCACGTATGCGCGGGGGAGATGCCGACTCCTGGGTGGGGCGCGCAGTGGCGCTCTCTATCCTGAGAGAGGAATCGTGGCCCGCAGCACTTCGGCGACTTGCGAGGCCAAGTCTTTCTCCCCCTTATCATTGTCAGTCATCGGTGATTGCGCGCTGATGATATTTCCGTGCATTTCTTGGATCAGGGGGCGGGCGCGCGTGTGAGGCAGCTGTCTGCGCCAGCGAAAAGCTCGGCGGGCGTCATGTCGAGCTCCGCTGGCCGGGGGGGGGATATTTGCAGCCGCCGCTGCCCTCGCGTTGCTGAAGTGCGTCAGGGGTGAGTCTGGGAAGTTGGCTCGGCAGATGGCCGGGGGGCCCGCCAGCCCTGGGGCGCGCGTCGCAGCTGGGAGGCACCAGCCGCGACCGCTAGCAGGTGCCATAAACAAGAGATGTCGAAAGTTCTCAGTCATGGGATCAGGGGGCTCGGTGACTTCAAGGCCCCGAAGAATCTGAGAGGAAGATTGCTTCGGACGGGCCTCCTCTCGGCAATGTCGCATGGCGCGGGGGCGCAAGGGCGCGGGGGAAGGCGGATCCTCGCCGGGGAGGCGCTGGCTGCGCGGACGATTGTGACCGGCGCGGTTGGCCGAAAACCTCGAAGGCGCCGGCAGTTTTTTAGCCCGCGCAAGGATGGCTTGTCTGTTCGAGGTCTGCGGCGGCGGCTGGTCGGGCTGGGGCGGCAGATCTCGCTGCAGGGGCTGGGCAATTTTATCGGCGGGTCCCCTGCGGCGCCGTTCCGACCGGGGAGGCACTCAGAAGTCGGGGGTGCGACATTGCCCGGGGAGGCGCCCGCCCCTCCTGTGCAGAGAAGAACCAGATTATGTTTGGTTCCGCGCGTGGAAGTGCAAACGCCCTGATGCCACCCATGGGGGGGGCGAGCACTTTGGGGGGGGCGCCAAAAGGCCCGCTATGGAGAGCAGCGAATGGCGCTGCCTTTTTTCTCGCCCATTGCTCGCTTTACCTAAACTCCTCGCCCCCCCCCTTTCCACGCCAGGACTTGGGCCTGCGGTTCTTTGATTCCCTTCAGGGCCCGCGCCCCATTTTTTCGGGGGGGCCTGCGATCCGAGGTTCACTGGTGGTTCATGCATCCGCCCTGACGCGCCTGAGCTTCCCACGAGAGGGCTTGCAGTCGCAGAGATGGGCAGTCATTGCTCGCGCCAGAGAGAAGCGCGCAGCCCGCTCCCGAAGGTTTTCGCGCAGCTCCCAGGGAATTCACATCATGCCGCATCTAATCCAGGTATATCCAGGCGCGAACGCCCCCCTGGCCCGTGGGAAGTCGCCCGGGCCATTGCTGTGGATTGCGCAAGTCGTTTCTTCGGGGCCAGCAGTCCGACCAGGGCTCTTGTGAGGTGGTTGTGGCGGTGGCGGTGGTGGTGGCGGTGGTGTGGGTGTGGGGTGGGGGTGGGTGGGGTGGTGGTGGTGGTGGTGGTGGCTTCTTTGGGGGATTCGTCGCCAATGATGTGAGTGGCCTGCCGACGGGAAAATCAAGGCTTGTCGCGAGTTGCGCGGTTCGGTCGATCAGAAAGGCCAGAGGGACATTCAAGGTTCGAATGCCGCTTACTCGCGAGCCCAGGCGCATGGCCTCTCACCGAACGAACTGTTCGAATTCACGCAGGCAGAGCTTCAGAGCATACATCCCATTCTTTGGGTGCCTCCATGCGTTTGAGGCCTTTCGTTCGCGCGGGGTCCAGTTTGGTCTGTTCTGCGGGCAGAGCAACGCGGGGGTCCCAGAGCCAATGCGACCCCAGCGCGCTTGTGTGCCGCATGGATTTGTGTTGAAGTACCCGCGCTGTTTGAGGGTCGCGTCCGCTACCGTTCAAAATGCAGGTGTTTCCCTCGCCCCCTCCCTCTTGGATTTTGCGGCGGATTCAACGGCGAAGCCTGTGGATGGCCACAAAAGGCCGCAGGGGCTGCATCGCTCGGCGCGTTCCCGCGGAGCGCTGGGCGCCGCGAGCGCGCGCCGCAGGCGGGCATGCCGAGCGGGCGGGTCAGGCGGGGCGCGCATGGGCGGGGGGCGCGGTTACTCGCGCCCCCGCCGCCGTGTGCGATCGCAGGTGCACGGGTCAGCGCGCGGACCGCTCCCCGTGTGCGGCTGTGGGCCCGGGTGCGGCGCAGGTGAACAATGCATATCTTATTCAGGAGCGCCGCGCGTGCCCGCCTGTGTGTCTCTTGCCTCCATCCTCACCGCCCTGTGTGGTGCTTAGTGTTGTGGGCCTGTCGCGGTGTCGCCAGGGTCCGAGCGGGGCGGCGTTCTCGGGCGGGTCGGTTCACCCGTCGCCGTCCTTGCTGCGCCATGTCCGTTTCGCCCCATTCGGGGGCGGAAAGGAGGGGGGTGATGACTAGGGGGGGGTGGATATCATGGCGGGGGCCGTGATATTTCCCAAGATTTCATGGCGCCTTTTCTTATTTCATTACGTCACTGGCCTCCCCGCTGGGCCGCGCACGTGCCGCCGGTCATGATTTGCACCCCCCCTCTTGGACACCCCCCTCTTGGCCGGTCCCGACCCATGCCGAAGCGGACACCGCGCCAGTAGGTGGCACCAAGCTATCTTGTGAGAGGTAGATATGATTTGGGGCACAAGTTGCGTTGGGCAGTGCCTGTGCCCGCAGCTGGCACCGCGCATATCCTTGTTGTTTGTTGTGCTTCTTGCGGAGGGTTTGCCACCGGCAGGGCTGGCAAACTCTTCTGGCAACCCTACAAACATCTTGGGAAGAGCGCTGGAAGAGCCAAGCTGCTCAAGGGTTTGCTGCCAGGGGCACCCCGCAGGCTGGGTCAGTCCTTTCCCCTTTCCTCTTCCTTCGTTTCCTCTCTCCCCCCCTCTTCCTCCTGTGGCCCAGCCGTGGGGTATCTTTTGTCTTGGTGCGTCGGCTGAGCCTGGCTGCATCAGACGCATCTCAGGTCCGCTGAGATCCGCCGAGGAGGAGGAGGGGGAGGAGGAGGAGGAGGAGGAGGAGGAGGAGGAGGAGGAGGAGGAGGAGGAGGAGGAGGAGGAGGAGGAAGGCCGCCAGCAGGAACGCACGTCCGGCGTGAGGACTTTGCTGGGGCGGGGCGGGGTGCGGAGCGGGCGCGTGGCAGGGGGTGGCTGGGGGTGGCGGAGCGGCGTTGGAGGGCCGGGTCCATGTCGACCTCGTCGACCCGATGCGGTGTCGATTCCGGCGTGCCCGACTCCCGCCTCGATCCCGATGGCTCGACCCTCTGTCAGGAGGGGAAAAAGACACACAGACACACAATTAATCGTCGACCCCCAGGAAAAGATGGGAGAATATGGGAAGTGGGGGGGAAGACAGAAACCCAGAAAATATGGGAAAATATAGGGAATCTGGTTATTTGTTTGTATTTATTTGTGTGTCCTGGGGCCCCTTCAATCTGGTGCGCCCCGATGCTTGCGTGGCGCTGCTGCTCCTCTTCGCGTGGCCGATTCGTATCGATTTCGGCTCATTGCCGACCCGACCCGATCCGATGTCTTCCCGAGTTGGTTTGGTTACCCGATTCGATCTGGACAGACTTTGGAGGGTGAAGGTGACAAGGGCAGGGAGGGGCAAAGGGAGGAGAGGAGGGGGATTAGCAGCAACGGTAAGGCAAAAAACACAAGACACGGAAACATAGCATACGTGACATGCTGCCGTGGGACCCTGTCGCCGTGTTACCTTCATTTTTCCCCGCTAGAACACCAGGTATTTCTTCAACAGAAGCACGCTGATGGGTTCCTCACGGCGGCATCTCACTGATACCGTTGACAATTACATAATACGAGTATTACCTTCCTCGCTCCCCTGACGCTGTTCGGAGCGCAGGATTTCATTACTAAGTGTTTCCAATGTGCTTTTTCAATCCGGTCATTTCTGGTTATTCCAAGATGGTGCTCCCGGTGCAGCGCCGCCCCTATTCCCGCGCTTCGGTCATTCAAAATCGTGCTCCCGCTGCAGCGCTGACCTCGTCCCCGCGCCTCCAGACGGCACGTGGCATTCGAAACCGCTCACATCGGGCAGGCACGGTTGCGGAGGACATGGAGCGGGCATTCTGGACAGGCCGTGCCCTCTCGTAGATGGGCCATTTACCCTCGAAGTCATCCGGTGCCATGCCACGGCATGCAATGCGATGTTGTGTTGTGCACTGCTGTGCGATGCTATGTTTTGCGTTGTTATGCTTTGTGATGCAATGCTTCTTCACTACGCAATGCCATGCCATGCTGTGACATGCTATGCTCTGCCGTGCTCTTCTACGCTATGCTTTTCCATCCATCGCGTACCCTCTTGGGATCATTGCCCTGCTCGACATCCGACCGCGCGAATTGAGAGGAGATCCACGCCATGGTGAGGGATGGATGGGAGGGAGGGATAGGACCTCCGATGTGACGCTGGCGCACCTAGCTTGTCCCTCCCCCCCGCCTCCCCCTCCCCCTTCCCCCCCCCAGACGTCTCTGCTGCCACAAGCTCCGAAGAGCCTCCCTCCCTGCTCTGCGCCCCCCCACGCGGGGCTGGCGCGCGGGGGAGTGGCCTTCTAAGATAGGCCGCCGCCCCTCCCCGCCGCCCCCCCCGGTGGGCGCCGCCAAGTTGCCCTCCCCGTCGCCGCGAACGCGCCGCGGCTCCGCGAGGCGTGTACGTCCTGACGTGCACCTACGGCGTGCTGACGGCGAACACCTCCCAGTGCATCGCGCAGGCTGTCGGCCCGGACGGGGGGGCGGGGCGCGGGGGCCGGCAGCGTCACGGCTCGCGCCGGCGCCGCCTGGACATGCCTGAGAATGGTGGCTATCGTGCCCAGCTGCAGACGGTGCCTGCGAGAGTCGTGACCTGACCAGCGGGGGGGGGCGATGGGGGGCGGCGCTGGTCACGGGCGCTGTCGCGCATCTGCAGCATAAAGCGCGGGCCCCATGTGAGCTTCGTGAAAACGTCTGGGCAACGCTAACGGGGGATAGGCGCGGGGTGGGTGGGGCATCGACCCCCAACGCTCATTGCTCGCCGATGGGGGCTCCATCGCCTACCCGGGAAGGAGCGGATCCGCCACCGTGGGCCTATCGCCGATCTTTCGGCGATGCTCCGCGGATTCCAGGTCGGTGTTTCCTTTCCTGAGCTGGTCCCGCTCGGATGTTCCCCCTCAAGCATCGGGGGGGCGCACGCTGTTCCCCGAGTCGGGCTCCGAGGCCCCGACGGTCGACTTCGAACAATGGGGAGGAGCAGGCGGAGGATGAGTAGGAGGAGAGGGAGGGGGAGGAGGAGGGGGTGAGGAGGAGGATGAGGAGGAGGAGGAGGAGGAAAAACCAAAAAAAAAGGAGGAGGAGGAGGAGGATGAGGAGGAGGCGGAGGAGGGAGGAGGAGGAGGAGGAGAGGAGGAGGGAGGAGGGGCAGAGGGAGGGGAGGAGACAGGAGGAGGAGGGAGGAGGAGGCGGAGGAGGAGAAGGAGGAGGAGGAGGAGAGGAGGAGGAGGAGGAGGAGGAGGACGGAGGAGGGGAGGAGGAGGAGGAGGAGTAGGAGAGAGGAGGAAGGAGGGAGGTAGGAGGAGGATGAGAGGCGAGGAGGGGGGAGGAGGAGGATGAGGAGGATGAGGTAGGAGGAGGAGGAGAGGAGGAGGGGAGGAGGAGGAGGGGAGATGAGGAGGGGAGGAGTGAGGATGAGGAGGAGGAGGAGAAGGGAGGAAGGAGTAGAGAGGGGTAAGGAGGGAAAAGGGTGGAGGAGGGGGGGGAGAGAGGGAGGAGGAGTGGAGGAGGAGGAGGAGGCGGAGTAGGTAGGAGGAGAAAGGAGGAGGAGGAGGGAGAAAGGAGGAGGAGGGAGGAGGAGGAGGAGGAGGAGAGGAGGAGGAGGAGGAGGAGGAGGAGCAGCAGGAAGCAGAGGATGAGCAAGAGGCATGGGCGGCGATCAGGGTGAGCAGGGTGAGGAGGAGCAGGAGGCAGGAAGCGAGACATAGGAAACCATGAGTAGAGTGGGCGCGGGAGGGAAGGAGGAGGTGGCGGAGACGGAGGCGGAGGCGGAGGCGGAGGCGGAGGAGGAGGAGGAGGAGGAGGAGGAGGAGGAGGAGGAGGAGGAGGAGGAGCATCGGGCTACTTACTCCCAGCATAGGCGTAATCTGCTGCACCCAGGCTAGCATCGGCAGTGCTCAATTTGTAGTCAACAGTATCCGACTGATCGGCCGACTGAGGAGGAGGAGGAGGAGGAGGAGGAGGAGGAGGAGGAGGGTTGGGCGCAAGTCAGAAAGGCGGAGGAGGAGAAGGAGGAGAGAGGAGGCGAAGGAAGGATGGGGCACAACGAGGGGGGAGCGCCCAGACGCCCGCCCCCTCCGACCAGAACGGCAGGCCTCCCGAGAGGCCCGCAGCTGGCCAGGCGACTCCGCTGCCAATGCCCATTGCGACGACGGACCACGGTCAGCTCAGTATCGATTATCCCACCCCTATCCCCATCCCCATCCCTGTCCAGACCCCCACCATCTCAGCACCCCAGTCGGGGATGAGCCCCTGGGGGCCCGGAGGAAGCAGCCTGTATCCTTATCAAGGGTGTCAATCGGCCAGTGGGGCCCAGGCCATGAGGAAAACACAGACACACACACATATACATCGACCTCCAGAACATGTGGGACAACAGAAACATGGGAGGTGGAGGGAAAGACACATCCGGAACCGGAAACGATGCACAGCTGTAAGGACTCCCTGGACATGCGTTTTTTTGTGTATCCCTGGGCCCCTGTTAAAGGATGATGCCCATCAACGGCGACGACCACGACCAGGACCACAACGACCATGACCACTCCACACCTCCCCGCGTCGTGACGGAGATCACGACGGGAGGTTCTCGCCCCTCCGGGGGCCCTCGCCGGGCTCCAGGGGCGTGCTCGTCGGTCCCGCTGCAGCGTCTCGGGGGCCTCCCTGGCCGCCTTGAGGCCATCCTGGGCGTCTGGGAGCGATCTTGGGGCAACTGCAACTCAGGGCCCCCTTGGCTCGTTTTGGGAGCTTCTTGCTGGCATCCAGGTTTTTTCGTGGCCTGGAGGCCCACGCGAAGCACCCCAGGAGCGCCACGAACGCCCAAGTGCGTGCTGGAGAATGGGGGCCTGGGTGCTCAAGAACCTTACGAACCCTTCGCATCTCAGGACTGCATGCGCCTTTGGGCATTCCACCATGTTTCTCAAGGCGCGGTGGCGGATGAACAGCAGCAGTTGTGACAATGATGCGAATGTTCATCACTCCAGTACCGTCTTCCTCCTCTTCCTCCTCCATCCCAGACCTCCGACATTTTATCTGTTGATTCCCAAGGGCCTGCTTTCCGTCTCGCGTCGCTTCTTGGTGGCCCCGAGGCTCGAAACTGGTCCCCAGGAGGTCTAGCATGTAGCAGACCCGTCTAGGTTCCTCCCCTCCCCATCCATCGTCCGGCCCCCTCGTCCTTCCTCATCTCGTCGATTTTCTTCATCTTTCTCCTCTTCTTGCTCCTCTCCCTGCTCTCATCTCCCTTCTCCTCTCCCTCCTCTCCTCTCAGCTCCCTTCTCTTTTCCTCCCCCTCCCTTGCTTCATCAGGCGGTGCATCAACACCCGGCGCGTCTCTTTTCTAATTTTGGGTGCCTCTTGTCCTCTTCCTCCAGTTCGTGGGATTTCATCGGGCCATTGGTGCTGTTCTGTTCTGCTCTTCTCCTTCCTCCCCTCGTCATCCTCCCGCCTCCTCTTCCTACATCCTCTCGCTCCTCTCCCTCTCTATCCTCCTTGCCTCTCTCCTCTCATCTCCTTCCTCCCTCCTCCCTCCCCGTGGGGTGACGAAAAGGTACCGAAACCGTTGCTCCCCAGATCCCCCTTGGGGTGCATCCCAGGAGAACCCAGCCGTGGCGACGAGGGCTCTGCAGGACGAGCAGCGGCATCGGTACCAGTATCGTTCCATCCCTCCCCTCGCCGTCCTGGGGACGACGAGGGAAGGGATGGAACGATGCCGGCTCCTCCCCCTGCTCCTCCCCGCGAGGAGAGGATGGAGCGATACCAGCTCCTCCCTCCGAGAAGAGGAGGCTCCTCTCCTCGGCTCCTCCCCTTCCCCCCCCCGTCCTCCGGGAGGCCTCCTCTCCGCGGTTCCTCCTTCTCCTCCTCAGCCTCCTCCTCCTCCTCCTCCTGTTTTGTTATGTTTCGTAAGTCTCCAATGGGACGTTGTTGCCGACGCTCTGGGCAAGGAGCGGGCGGACATGCGACATGATCAACCAATCCCCAGAAATGCTGGGGGTCCGACCGCGGGCAAGTGCCCTGCGCGTGCCCTGTCCCCGGGGGGGCCAGGTCTGCCAAATGGAAGATAATTTTGTGGGCCCCCTGGGAACCAGCGCCGGTCGTGAAGAGGTCCACCAACCTGCGGAAACCTCCCTGCCGAGCGCACACACACACACCACACCACACCGAACCACACCACACCACACCACACCACACCACACTACATCCCACAAAACACCACAACACAACACAACACAGCACAACACAATACAATACACACCACACCACACCACACCACACCACACCACACCACACCACACCACACCACACCACACCACACCACACCACACCACACCACACCACACCACACCACACCACACCACACCACACAACACCACACCACACATCACACTTGCAACACAGGACCACACACACACCACACACGCACGCACGCACGCAAGCACGCAGCACGCACGCCACGCAACGCACGCACGCACGACACACACACGCAAGAGGCACACAACCACAACACACACAACACACAACACACACACAACACACACAACACACAACACACACAACACACACACAACGCACACAACACACACACACAACACACACAACACGCACAACACACACAACACACACAACACACAACACACACAACACACAACACACACAACACACAACACACACAACACACAACACACACAACACACAACACACGCACACCACACACAACAAACACAACACACACACAACACCACACACACGTACATACACTTACACACACTTACACAATTACGCACATTTGCACACCCTTCCACACACTTGCACACACTTGCGCACGCTTGCACACTTACAGTTACACACACTTGCACACACTTGCACACACTTGCACACACGTACACACACGTATACACACACGTCTATTCACAGCTACACACACTTACACGGTTTTGCACACACTTTTACACACCATTATTCATCTTTACACACTTACACACACTTACACACACTTACACACACTTACACACACTTACACACACTTACACACATGCACACACTTGCACACACTTGCACACACTTGCACACAAGACACGCGCATGTCCGCGACGAGAAGTCCACACTGAGCTTGCCTCCTCCTTGGCGCTAGTGAGGATTATTCTGCCCACGCGCTTCGCCACGTGGCGGTGGGTCATCGCCAAATGGCGGTTGGGAAGGGGGGTGCTTCGCTCGAAAGAGAGCGGGGAAGGGGGAGGGGCGAGGGCAATAAAGAAAGGCACGAAAGAGCTCTCGGAATCGGAGGGAGCCTGCCCGGCAGACAAGATAGGCAACCAGAACCAGTGGCTGTTTCCCACAAGCCCGCGGGTCCGGAGAGCAGGAACGAGAAGCGGACCAGCAACCAGACGAAATGAGCCACACGCGGCCGTGGAAAGAAATGCTGGGCAAAATACGCACCCTGGCCACGGGAGTCCGCGACACGCCCAAGAGGAGACGCCACCAAAGAGCCCCGCCGGCAGCCGCGGCGTTCCGCCCGGCACCCGCCCCCGGACCCGCCGCCCCGACAGAGCCGCCGGCTCCCGCCAGCCGTCCACCGGCTGCCGCCGAGGGCGAGAAGAAAGGAAAGCAATAGCCTTTTTGGAACGCAATGCCGGCTCGAAAGATACGCGCCACTCTTTGCGACCCTGTGAGGAGGCTGACTCGCCCTACTGCGAGAACGCACTCCCTGGCGGCGAGAACGTACTCGTTCTAACCGCCAGGCGGCTCCGGTAAGGCCCTTGGAGGCCCAAGAGCACTGGGTCGAGAGCGGCGGCGGCCCTAAATTGATGGGCCGCCGCCGTCGGAAATCGAGAGACCCGGCGGGTCCGGAGCACGGAACGCACGGCGTGTGAGGCAGTTCCGCATGTTTTGTGTGAGTTGACAGGAGCAAGCGGGAACGAAGGAGGCGGAGGAGAAGGAAGGGGAGAAGCAACAGCAGCTGCCTGAGCCAAGGTGGGAGCCCAAACCGCTACGAACCTGGCAGCACGTGCGCACCCGCAGTGGTCCTCGCCTTCTGGCGGTTGGGAGTGGAGGGGGCTGCATCGCCAATTGGCGTTGGGAGTGGCGGTGGGAGTGGCGGTGGGAGTGGCGGTTGGGAGTGGTCCTCGCCTTCTGGCGGTTGGGAGTGGCGGTGGGTGTGGAGGGGGCATCGCCGAGTGGCGATTGAGGCGAGAGGGCGGAGGGGGAAGAGCAGGAGAGGAAAGAGGATGAGGAGCTCTAGCCCAGCCAGCTGCGAGCGGGACCCGCCAGTGCGGGTAGAGGAGGCGCCGCCCGCTGCCTCCTCCTCCTCCTCCTCCTCCTCCTTCTCCTCCTCCTCCTCCCCCTCCTCCTCCTCCTCCTCCTCCTCCTCCTCCTCCTCCCCCTCCTCCTCCTCCTCCTCCTCCTCCCCTCCTCCTCCCCCTCCTCCCGCCTCCTCCTCCTACCTCCTCCTTCCTCTCCTCCCCTCCTCCATCCCTCCTCTCCTCCTGCCTCATTCCCTCTCCTCCACCTCCTCCCTCCCTCCTCCTCTCCCTCCTCCTCCTCCTCCTCCTCCTCTCTCTCCTCCTCCTCCCCACCCCCTCCTCCTCCTCCTCCTCAGCCTCCCTCCCCTCTCCTCCTCCTCCTCCTCCTCCTCCTCCTCCTCCCTCCACTCCTCCCTCTCTCCTCCCCCTCCTCCTCATCCTCCTCCTTCTCCTCCTCCTCCTCCTCCTCCTCTCCCCTCCTCCTCCTCCTCCTCCTCCTCCTCCTCCTCCTCCTCCTCCTTCATCTTCCCCCCGCACCGCCGCCCTGCCTCCCGCAGTGGTCCTCCCTGGACACGCCCCCCTGGGCGCCGCGATCCGGGCACGCCGCCGTTACGCTGAGCGACGGAGCCGTGCTGTTGCTGGGCGGCTTCGGGGAGGCCGCTGTCCGCGGGCCGCCTCTCGCCGCCCGCCGCCCGTCCCCCAGACCGAGGAGGAGGAGGAGGAGGAGGAGGAGGAGAAGGAGGAGGGGAGGAGGAGGAGGAGGAGGAGGAGGATGGAGGATGGAGGATGGAGGATGGAGGATGGAGGATGGAGGATGGAGGATGGAGGATGGAGGAGGGGGAGGAGGAGGAGGAGGAGGAGGAGGAGGAGGAGGAGGAGGAGGAGGAGGAGGAGGAGGAGGACCAGTGTAAACCCAAGAGCCATCAACGATGTTGGAGAATACACCCCTCCCTCCAAGCTCCCTCTTCATAGGCCCCTACAACGGTTCATTTCCATTGAGGGATCTGCCTCGTTGGAAGACAACCGCTTGAAGACCCGGAAGCATGCCAACACATTGTCAAACGCCACAGATCAACCTGACTGTTGCGTCTTGACGATCCGAGACCGTGCCAGAACGCCATTCTTGGGATTTCAACACCGCGAATCAACGTAACTGTTGCACCCGCAACGCAAAATCCTGAATCCTTCCCAAACAGCATTTCTGGTACGTTGATCGTGGGAACCCGTGAAAGTCTGGCAACTGTTTATGAACGCATGTGCGTGGCGCTAAGGCGAGAGCCACATTTTGAAAAGGAACCGCCCTCAATCCGTGAAACCCTTGCACATCTTTAGAACGAATGTGCGCGGCGCTAAGGCGAGAGCCACATTTAAAAAACGGATGATCCTCAATACGTGAAGCTCTTGCAAGTTATCAAAACGAATGTGCGCGGCGCTCAGGCGAGAGTCATATTTTGAAAACGGGTTATCTTTAATCCGTGAAATCTTGTAAATGTTTAGAACGAGTGTGCTGGGCGCTAGGGCGAGAGCCACATTTTGAAAGCCACCCGCCCTCCATCTGTGAAGCTGTTGTCACTTTTGAAGCTTCAGAGTCATGAGTGGTGAGGAAATCTCTGGCGAAACGCCCGGCCCGCCCTAAAAACTGGCCTCGGGGTGCGACAGGGAGGAGTTATAAGGAACAGGCGTGGAGGAGGAGGGGGAGGAGGAGGAGGAGGAGTAGAAGGAGGAGGAGGAGGAGGAGGAGGAGGAGGAGGAGGAGGAGGGGGAATAAAGTTTAGTACTGTTATTAAGAACAGGCAAAACAATATTCGTAATACTAAATAGAAAGTAGCAATACGAACACTACGAATTATACTACGAATGCTATGGTGAGGAATAATAAGAACACCGCTAATAATAACAACAATCTTTCTACACACACGAATCGCCATATCATTCATAATGGCAATACTAAGACTAGTACTAATTCCACGGATGCGAATAAGCCGTATTATTCGAGTACTACTACTAAGAATTATCACTCGAAGAAGAATAATACTACGATTCGTAATACTACGAATGCTACGAAATGATATTAATACTACTAACAAGAAGAAGAGGGATGAGGAGGATGAGGAGGACAAGGGGGAGGAGGAGGAGCAGGGGGACGAGAAGGAGGATGAGCAGGATGAGGGGGACGAGCAGGAGGAGGAAGAGGAGGGGGGGAGGATAGAAGAGGATAGAGGAGGATAGAGGAGGAGGAGGAGGAGGAGGAGGAGGAGGAGGGAGGAGGAGGAGGAGGAGGTGGAGGAGGTGGAGGAGGAGGAGGAGGGGGAGGAGGAGGAGGAGGAGGGGCGGGGGAGGAGAGGGGGGAGTCAGGATAGGAGGAGGAATAGGAGGAGGAGGGGGTGGAGGAGGAAGGGGGGGGAGGGGGGAGGAGGAGGGGAGGGAGAGGAGGAGCGAGGAGGAGGAGGAGGGAGGAGGAGGAGGAGGAGGAGGAGGAGGAGGCCCCCCCCTCGCGTCGTGGAAAACATCGCGACGGCCACTGTTTTTTGCCGTTGGCGGCCTCCACGGACGGGCCCTTGCCTGGCTCTGAGAACATCAAGAGAAAACATTCGGAAGGACAGGAAGCCGGTCCCCGGGAGCCCGCTCCAGACTTCCCAGGATTGATTTTTGGCAGCGTGCTTTTTTTCTTCGATTTCGGCTTTTGGGCCCCGTCATCTGGCCCTGGCATTGTCAACAGCGGATCCGTGATGAACTATTTTTTCGGAGAAGGGGCCAGGACCTTTGGGAGCGCGCATCAGAAAAATCACATCGTTTTTGGGGCCGTAACCTAAACTGCTGGGGGGTCCACTCGGATTTCTTGGATCTGCCTTCGGGCCGCTCCGACGGCGCCTCCAGCGCCGCTCCTGGCGCGCCCCGCGAGAGAGGGAGGAAGTTCCAGAACAGATCCAAGAATCCGCGCGGACCTTCGACAGTTTATGTCTTTTCTTCTTCTTCGTCTTCTTCTGACGCCTTCCTGTCGCGTTTTCAAATTCTCGGGTCTCCGAGGAGGTCCTCCCCCCCGCCCCCTCCTCCCCCTCCGCCTTCCCTTGAGGCACGATCCATGTGATGTGTGTGTGTGTGTGTGCCGAATTGAGGGAACGGTCCGATTGGGGTCGTAGGTGCAGCGCCCTATGAGGCACGATCTGTTCCAGGGTCGTGCCGAATTGAGACGGGGACGCCCCACGAGCTTCTTGTTGCCTATGAGGCAAGATCCTTCCGATGGGGTTCGCCGAATTGAGGCGGGGAATCATATGAATCGCACACCGGGCTCGTAGTTGTGGTTCCCTGTGGGGCACGATCTGTCTGAGATCTGGTACCGCCGACGTGACGCGGATCGTCATAGGAATGCCCCAACTGGGGGCAGCAATTGCGCCCCCCGAGTTATCCTCCTCCTCTTCCCCGTGCCTTCCCAGAGAGAAGTTTTAAGCCGGGTATGTCCCTGCACAGCAGGAAAATTCAAAAGTAGTCAAAAAACAGTTTGGGGCCGATGTTTCAACATCTTTTTACATGTTTTGAGCATCTGTTTTGTATATCTGTCTCTTTCAACACCTGCCTGTAGGAGGACACGCCCTCCCTGAGAGTAGTTCCCCCGACTCCTCCTGGAGCGCGTGCGGACGAGGAGGTCGCGGCGGATTCAGCAGTGGCGATGAGAGCGCCCTGGGAGGCCCAGGTCCCGCCTCCCCTCTCCGAGGCGGGGACCTATCCACAGCCACCGCCTCCCCCTCCTCCTCCTCCCCCTCCTCCCCCCCCCTAAGCTCCTCATTCACCGCCCTCCTAATCCTCCTCATCTCCGCCTCTCCTCTCCTCCTCTCCTTCTCCTTCTCTTCTCTTCCTTAAATCCCATAAAGCCTCCTCCTCCCTCTTCTCCTCTCTTCCCTCCTCCCTCTACCTCCCCCATCCTCCTCCTCCTCCTCCTTCCCTCCTCCTGCCCCCCCCCCCCCTCCTCCTCCTCCTCCTTCCTCCTCCCCTCCTCATCCTACCTCCTTCTCCTCACTTCTCCCTTCCTCCTCCCTACTCTCTACTCCTCCTCTCCTACCCCTCCCTCCTCCTCTCCTCATGCTACTCCTCCTCCTCATCTCCTCCTTTTTCCTCCTCATCCTCCATCCCCCCCTCCTCCCCCTTTCCTCCTCCTCCTCCTCCTCCTCCTCCTCCTCCTCCTCCTCCTGGGGGATCGCTCTTCGCGGACCTTTGCAGGCGGTGGACACGGATGTCTTCGGGCCCCCGGGAGCCAACACATTCAGGAGGGGAAAAAACACACAGACACAATTAATCGTCGATTCCTTCAAAAATATGGTAAAATATGGGAAGTGGGGGGAAGACAGAATCCCCCCAAATATGGGAAAATATGGGGAATCTGGTTATTTGTGTCTATTTATTTGTGTGTCCCAGTTTCCCTTCACACATATTCATGCCCACCGCCCGCCGGGCTCCCAGGACGTCGGTTACTTCGGTCGCAAATCATGGGAGTCTGGTGCACCCTCTGAATTCCGTCTTCAGCGTCGATGAGCGTCGATGGTCGTCTGGGCGTCCTCGGGGCAGCGCCGACTTCGCGCCGGTCCGCGTGGACGCAGCGTCGATTTCGCGTCGACTCGCGCCGGCCAGCGCCGATCAGCGTCGATGCGCAGGAGGCGACAAGGTGGTGTGGGAGGCCCTCAGGAGCTGCCACCACAGGCTCCCAGGCGGTGGGTGTGGATACGTCCCCGCCCTCCTCGCCCTCGCCGTCCAGCAGAAGGGCGACGAGGAGGAGAAGCGGCACCGCCGGCCCAGGCCCTCAGTATCGTGTCCTGGAGCGGTCGCTCCAGTGCGGCCGGCGAGGCGAGGCTGGCCCGTGGCTCGGGGTGAACGGTCCGTTTTAGGTTCTCGAGAGGGCGCCGCGGCCGTCATTTTCCAGGATTGCGCCCGCCAGGTTTGGGACCGAGGTCGTTTTGACTAAACCACGCTTTACTAAAGGGGGTTCTGTCCATCCCCGAGTGGCGGCGAGTGCCCCTCAGCCGGAGTTTGGAGCGCATGCATCACCAGTGGCAAAGCGTCCCGGCTCGCCTGTAGCCCCACCAAGCAGTGTTCTAGGAGCCCTTTGTGGTTCCCACGAGGTGTTCTTAGAACAGTTCTGGCTGGGACTGTCTCGTTTTAACACATCGGGTTCATGTTCTAAGAACACTGTTTTGGTTCTTCGAGCACTTTTGGGTTCTAAGAACATTTCGTGGTATGACTATAGGAATGCCGGCACGGTCGGTCCCTGCTCAAAGCATGCATCACCAGTGGCGGGCTGGTTTTACATCCCCGGCTGTTTCGAGGGTCGGGGACGACGTCGGGGGTGGTGCGGTGTATATTTTTTAATCCGTTTTTCCGGGGAAGCGGCGAAACATTTATGCACCAGGATGCCGTATGCACTGGGATCCGCTTTCCTGTGCGAATTGCAGTGCGGGGCCGGCAAAAGCGTCGGTGTATAGAGCTCGGCTCTTTACTCAGGAGGCCTGAGCAGAGCACGACGACCAGAACACCAGTGCTCAGAATCCAGTCGAGGCGCTGACAGACGGACGGCTTTGGGCTCAGGAGGGGCTCGAGCTTTCGGGCCGTGCCTTATGGGGGGCCCAACAATATACACCACCACCACCACCACCTCCCTCATCCCCCCCCCCTCTC